CCCAGCTTACTGAAACGTTCGAGCAGGGGGACAGGGAAGAGGTAGGGAGGCCGGTAATGAGGCGTCCTTCCTGACAGGTTTGTATCTCGCTAATGAACGTTCATCGGTCGCTAACGGAACTCACTCGTCCCGCACTGCTAATTTTCGAACCCCGCCCAACGGCTAGCAGTTTGGACGGATGAACATTGCCGACAAAAACACGGCAGACTGGAATGGTCACCTCTCGCTCATTAGCCGTCATCGGCCAGTTAAAAGCCTTGACTGTGAGAGTCACGGGGCGGCTGGATAATGAAAGACTGTTTTTGAACAAGGATAAGACTGCAATGTCTCCTATAGATATGACCATAACAACATTCCTGTTTGAGTAAGCATCATAGTCTTCTTGGACGAAGGCTGACATGTGAGGAATTAGAGACCAGGTCGTATATGGTACGCGTAGGCGGGCAGATCAGCGTTGTCTGCCCTGTGCCCACGCAAATTTCTGGTCGTTTTGACTTCGTTCTGTCAGCGCAATTCGGTTTTACTAGAAAAAAATGCACGAGCGAGTCATTACTACATCCCCACCGTATATCCACCAGATTTTCAACTAAAGCTATAGTGTCTTACCCTGAGATGGTATTTCTGTCGAACTAGAGGAAGACATTTTTCTCGCCCGTAGATGCTGTCTGTCAAGTTATCACTCTACAAGCGAGATTAAGCGGTTTTTTAAAAGGATAGATTGCCTTAAGCAACCTACAGTCTAGGGGACATGATAATGCACTGCTACTGCGTTACAGACTAGGTCTTCGCCTCTGCACACTCGACTGTCGATAGGTGTAACCTTATCTTAGAACTGGCGAAGCGCCTGAAGTTGTGTGACATTTGAAGGATATTTCCAGACTAAATCTAATTGTAATAAATGAGAAGTAATACTAGAAGAGACTGGGGAGAGTGAAATGACCACCTTGACTTATTAGCTGTCCTCAGCCAACTTAAACTAACCTATGCCAAGAAAAGCTGAAACCGGTTTGGCCATTAAGGTTATCGGCCCAACCGCTGATACATAGTCTTACGATGTGGAGTCATTTAGACCGTGAAGCCGCCAGAGTACTCATCACCACTAAGAAGTGAACTGAGGGCATTCGATACTGGAGTCCCCCGTTGTTTATGAACTACCGTACATGGGGAGGGGTTGTGGTGACTTCGACTTCGCACCGCATCAGCCATTGTGGCTAATTCCAAAAAGTCTGCTTTAATTTTCTCGGAAAAAGTATTTTTAGTAGTGCACTTCATATACCCCTAGCCCCAGCATTTGTCCTACGGAAACCATGATTATAGGGTTTTTGGGGGTGAGGAAATAGAATAGGCAAGGAAGGAAATTTTCAGAAGTAAGTACAAAGTAAAAAAATGTAGTCAAAGTTGTTTCCCGCGGCCTCTAGGAGTAAGTTGTTCCGCATGCAAATTGAAGGTGTGCACGGCGCTTCGCGCCACGGACTATACTAATCTAACTCCAGAGCAGTAAGTTGGACCTTAGGTAAGTTGAAGTAGACGACCTCCTAACCACCATTTCTATTTTTCGGGAATTTCAAGAAACCTGCAATTTGATAATCGGGTTTTTCCGCAATACGTTTAAAAATAATGCAGATTAGAAAAAGCTACAGATATAAATCAACAACATTTCTAAATACAATAAAACGAAAATGTATATAGCAGTTCTTAAATTATATTCCACTGCCTATCCTAATTCCTCACCCATAAAACACTATGACCACCGTTTTTGTAAGACAAAATGCTGGGACTAGGGATATATGAGGTGCACTACATAAACTACTGTTGCCCTCTTCTCTGCAAAAGGTGGTCAGCTGATACCCCCATTACAGAGCACCTTGGGGAATTCCTGTGGTACAGGCCGCCTATATTATTTATCAGCCTATTTTGAAGTCTAAAATCCTCACACATTTTCTCAGAAATTGGTGGGAAAAAGTTGCACGGAGTTAATACAACAAAAACGGCCTACACCGCCGTTGAACACCCAGCGAAGTGAACCTAGCAACCTGCACTTGTCCGACGCGACCTTAAATGCACACCAACCTCGGTCTTTTGACTGCAGTCATCTAATTACTAAAGCTTTTTCCGGCATCCTTAATAAAGTCGTTTTTGACCCGAGAGCAACCTGAATGCAGCACTCAAAACAATGCATTTTCGGGGGCAACCATTTCAGTCAAAAAATTCAAAATCAGGTGTCTGATTAAGCTGCAAATCAATTCCAAAGGTTGAATATGTTGCCAGTTCAGACCACCCCATGAGTAGGTTCTATAAGTCGCAAGACTCGATGCTTATTCAAAAGAACAAGGGAACACCTCCCGGCATGGCGAAGAATATCTGAAAGCAGGAGCATAAACAGCGCTATTCTTGCGCACAGAAATCGTGTGGACCTCCAACAAAGCTTCCTGGCTGATTTATAAGGTTCCACAAAACTACTCCAAGTCTGGGGATCAGCGTTTGCTATCAACAGCAGAAGCGACCGCTCGCAGGTGGTAGAAGCCGGTCTTGGGTATATTTCTGAAAGTCTAAGGTCTAAAGCCTCGACAGCTTAGTTGGCTAGAGCGTTGGCTGTACTATTGTCTTCGAATCTCACAGAGGCCGCCGAATTTTTCACAGTTGGGTCAATTGAAAGTTTAAGGTTTTGGGAAAAGTTGCAAAGAAATTTTTTCACCTAGGCAAACTCCAGGAAAGTCAACTTAAAGCAGACAAATGAAGCAGAATAAAATTGATGCAGCAGAAACCACTTCGAATAAAACTTTTAGAAAATGACGGGGTGAACGAAACTGTATTCTCACACCATAGTGACCTGATTGAGAGACGAAATAGGGACAGTTCGTTTTGTTCTGAAGCCCCGATCTGGTGCCTTCGCTAGAGCGTTAGCTGTTAGAGGCAGATGACTAACTCGCTTGGACATTTGACTAGGACATTTGATAGGGAAGAGAGAGAGAGGAATCGGCTCTGGGGAATCCGTACCTACGGCAATTCAACGCATTCCTACTATAACAACCTTGACACGTCTGAATTTAGCACGATGTCCTAAATGTCGTAGCCTGAGAGGTGGTCAACTGACAGGCTAACTGGATCAGTGCTGGCTGTGTGCATGTGGGGAGACTTGTTGTGCCCCCTAAACGGGTTGGACGGGAAAATATCAGGGTACGACAGACGTTATTCGGGTTGCGTGCCGATAACAAATGCCGAACATGGGGAGGGGGATTGACGTGGTGGCACGCATAAGGACGAATTGGGCCGCGCCAGCCACCTGCACCCGATCCCACTTCCGGTCTTCTTGACTCTCTTTTGACACCGGGGACAGATGGGTAAGGAAATAGAGAGAGTGTGTGGTAGATGCCGCGCAAGTCTACTATCACCGAAAACTAATTCACACACACGATTAATCGTCCCTGCAG